AAAGATCACGGATCGCGTAAAACGTCAGCGGTCACACCCTAGAGTCAAACAGACATCAGCACCAGATGTAGCTAGAGTACCTGTATAGCGAGAGTAGGGACAGATCGCTTCATGGAGGGCTTAGGGCCCAAAAGTGCAGCCACCCTTCTAACCAACTTCTAACGCACAAAATTTCACTGCCAGTCTGTAGATTCCAATTCTAACGAAGATGGCTAAGAAAGTACTTAAATGAGCGTTCTTCCACAAAAATGAGTAAATTTATGCAAAAACTAAGTCAAATACGTGCTTTATAAACGATGGTTCGTAACAGTTGTATTGATAAATCGCTCTGGATAATTGAAATTCATAGGTTGGCTGCATTTCTGGGCCCTAACTTTATTCGCGGAGGCGTCGGTGAAGGCCTGATGGATTTTCGGAGTTTCACATCTGTCTATACTCTCGCTATACAGGTACTCTAGATGCAGCATATTCGATGCAAGATTTCGTTTAGGCATCATAATAAATTGGGGTTTTGACCGCAGTTATTTTCAAGGGTGCGGAAAATTCTTCACTACATACAATGTGTAGTCACCTTCCGGCCAAAGTATCACAAGCGTCATGCGACGTTTCAAAATTTCACTTAATTTAATCGGCAGCACAAAAAAAAATCCAGTGAAATTTTCAAACAGATTCAACCAAAAATGTCTCTCTGGAAAAATACAATGGTGCCGGAAATTTGGAAACGTCGCATGACGCTTGTGAGACTTTAGCCGGAAGGTGACTATATACGCTTTCACTAGCAATTCACTTAGCTTTCCCACGCACTGTTGCACAGCGCGGTCCGAATTAATTACGCGGGAAAATTTCCGCGGACGAGGTAATTTCTACAAAAAAAGTAAGCACAGCTGCAGTTATTTACACCAGAATCAGTGTGGTGATATATACATTAATTATCAAATTCGAAGCCCTTTGCAGGCTTTCGGCAGAAAGGATGCACTTATAATAATTCGAATTCGCTCACGCCGCGAATTCGAAATGTCGCAGGCGATAAAAGGCGTGCTCGCGCGCACGCGAGACAGCGCCTTCAACATCGTGCACATACTTCAAACACTACACCTTTTCACACTGTTTCCGATGTGCAAATTGCCTATACTGCACCTGCCGAAGTGTGCATTGTGTTTAGAGGTGAACGTGTGTACACCGTCCAGTCGAAATCCACTGATTGGGCGATTACGCAAATTAAGCACGCCTGGTTATTTATACAATAAAAATTAGTAACTTGACCGGGGGAGAAGGCTGCAAGCAATGCATTAGATAAAATTAATTCGGTTGTCTTAAAATACTAACAATCTCATTTTCAACCGGGGAGAAAAAAACCGAGGAGAAAACAAGGGCAGCAATTTGAATACGGGGCCGAATGGCACTGCCTACTTTTTACGAGTTGTCTCCGATTGGCTGATCCGCCTAATGCCCTCTTCCTAGGACCCATACGGCAAATAACGCGGGGTTGATTATGCATCAATAATATCTCGAAAAAAAAAAGTTACTTGATGC